GCCGACCAAACACATTTGTTCGTCGATTTTTATTAGCATTTTATGATACGCGGTCATTAAAGTCTGCCGCGTGTGTGTGGAAAATATGACAGAAAGTCATTTTTTGAGCACAATATTTGACTAAGTTTGTGTGTGTGCGAATGTGTGTGGTGGTCGAGAAGAAATTACTGCGATTTGAGATAAGAGAGAAATTTAGAATGCCGACCCATAGGCATATATGCATTAGTGTATATGTACAAGTACATATAGCTATTTTTAACCCATGTGCAATTAATTTTTTAGAAACTTTCCTTGCAAATACAGTAAATTGAAGGATTACAAGGCAAATCACGCGCTTGTAGTAACAATTTCGCTAAAGAAATGGTTTAAAACGATTGAGGAAATACTTAGGTTATAATATTGCTTCGAATGCTGACGTCACGTTAGCGCAGCAGTTCTGAATGACAAAAATCTCTAAATGCTATACATTTAGTAAATACTGCGCGTCAATTTCTTTATACATTTGATAAAATTTTACTCGGACTTATCCATTTAAACTGTGAGCGCAAACCGAATCGATAACAAAATTTTTCTTAGATTGGGACAATTCTTTTTCTGTTCGTGTGAAGTTTGATCACCATGTGTCGATTAGTGTGTGTTTGGAAGCTGATTGTTTAAGCCACCAACGGTTTGTCTGGCAATTTTGAGTGACACAAAGCATTCAGTGAAGTTCGTGAAGTCCACCTCTATTAATGGCGTTAACATCGAAAAAGTTAAAGAAAAAGTGCTTGAAAATCGTAGTGTCGTGTCGCCTTATGGATCAACTCAAAACATTTTGGTTAATGTTTTGGTTATGAAGCGTGTCAATACTAGGCTTGTACCAGAATCTTTGCCAAAAACTGGTGATGAGACGAGTGTTTATAAATATGTCGTTGAGGCTACCAAACAATTTAGCGAATGGCGATCCAAAAAAGAGCCGAAAGCGAAAACTGAAGCTGAAGGTCATACCAGCCGAGGCTTCTAACAAGTGTATATAAAATAAGATTAATCCTTGGCATGCTTGTATTGGCTCTAAAGGAGCCTTTTGGAGATGATAATAAAGAGTTGTGCTAAAATACGTGAAAATACGTGTTGTCAGTCCGGGCCGAATTCGATCAGATGTTAATTTCTGTACCTTACTTGAATAAAGTGATATAAATTATTGAATTTTTGAGTTCTGCTCCTCCCTCCTAGACTCAGAGAGTATGAGTCTAGGAGGGAGGAAATAGTCGCTGGGGTCAAGTATAGTGAATATGGTGAGTAAAGTTCTACTTCATAACATAACTCCGTAATTTATTGGTCGTATTGGAAGCTGGATGAGCCAAATCGGTGAAACAAATTATTTTTCTTCACCAAATGAGCGCTCTTGGCTTTAAAGCAAATTTAAGATAATTTTTTCTCCCAAGTTTATCTGTTTTCTCAATATTTAACGGAGTAAGGTACAATAATTCAGGAATACTCAGTTTCGGACTTGTGTATATTGTAGGACTTTTCCCAGCAACAACCACTTTGCATAGTTCCGAAAGGACTCAGGTGTATAACGAATTATCCACATTTCATCCATTGTACTTATTCGTGTTGATGTTTGAATGAAATGTTTCAAATTTTGAAAGTGTTAAAGTTAAGGTTAGTACTCTACAACTTGGATAAAGATGTTTTTTATTTCTTTGTTTAGTCAAAGCTTTTTCAATCGTAGTATAACCGTAGATACAAGTACATAGTTCAAGCTTTGAAGGTCTTATGTTCAGTATGGAATATTGTTGATATTAAGAGACCAGTTCTTCATTGTAAGAATGCATATTAGTTTTGATAGGATTCGCGGATGGCCGCGTTTTTTTTTTTTCCTCAAGTAAGTCAGAGGAAAGTATGCATAAACAGACGACATAATGCTTTAAGAATAAATGAGGTTCCAGTAGTATAAATATATATTCTTTAAATATCTAAATCATTTTCAAGGTTCTTGTCGAGTGCTTCTCTTCTTTTCAAACCTTAAATGTAGACTACCAACTGGATGGAATGATATTAGTGGAAACAAAAGCAAGTTTCACGTAAATCAAATTCGGCTATATTTTCATCAAAAGTTCAAACAAAGAGACTTCCAAGTGAGTTGTGCTCCTCAAGTGCCTTTTAATGACTAGCAAAACAACAATTAGTTAGAAGGCGTCATTTCCTTTCTTCTATAGGAAGAGCGGCATATTAGATAACTTCGTACACGCATTTCATTGTTGTTCACTTTCATAGAACAAATAATTGCCACTGCTTTGTGCTGCCGTGTGGTAAACCTTTTGTCCAGGCGGTTGATTGATGTTATTCAGACGCATTTATAGATTTACCACAGCGCGGCGAATGTACTCGCTTACATACTAATAAACATACACACATCCACTTATGCAAGTTTATTTATGTGTGAACACCGCAACTATCATTAACAGGCATGAGAACGGAAATATAAATTAAAAAAAAAAATTGTACACGCAGTACTCGGTTGTCTTATATGGTATAACTAAAGAATTAAGTTGTACAAGCAGAACTGCGACGCTTTCAATTATCTATTGGTATTAGAGGTACTCATGCTGCGTATATTTAAAAATGATATCTGGGAAGTTGTTAGAATTGCACAAATTACTTCTTGGGCTTGTGTGAAATCAATCAATTAATGTAATTTAATGGAATGTGTGTTTAGAGAAGGCGAATGATCGAGTTGCTTGCTTAAGTCTTTTGATTTTTGAGCGACTTTTGCACTTTATAATAAAATGTATTGACTGTTAAGAAGGAATAATGAAATGTTGGGTGTAAATATTAAAGAACTTAGTCTACTAAATTTTTATAGAGTGCATTCCATATATTTTTTTTAATAACTTATTAATATGTATGTTCTTAAGTTAGAAACTGAGTGAAAAGCATTCTCAATACAGTATACTACCACAACAAATTGCAATTGGATTTAAAAATGTATATGATGTTATAAATATTTTTCATTTAGTATTATGATTTTACCACACTTTATTACTCGAGATTTCTGTTCTCATGAAAGAACTGTACATGCATATATAAATCAAAGAAGTTATTTCAATACTCATTGAAAGGGTAGGAGTAGCTTTTTTTGGATCATATTAATATTTATAAATATATTATATGTTTTGATATATATTTTTTATGCTCTCAAAACATCTTAAAACAGAGTGTAATAGTTTGGTCGCCTAAGGGTTGTTCGCAATGCCGAAAACTAATCGAGCTAGATATATTTAATAAGTAAAGTGGGGCTAAGTGCGGGTGTAATCGAAAATTTTTATTTTACAATAATCAAAGCTGGGGGAATACTGTTTTGGTCTTGCAAAACTTTATACTAAAAAATTTTGCATAAAAATTCAACATTTATTATTCGACGAAACCGTGAATGGATTACAATCAGATTTGCAAGTTTATTAACATATGTTATTTTGTAAGTTATAGCTTTATTTAGTATTATAACTATATTTTGCTACGTGTCCGAAATATTTATACTTAAATCAACCTACAATAAATTACTCAAATGAGAGGTTCAGCCCACTTTTATTAATGTTCATCCCTACATAATTTTTGAGAAAACTTGTCCACATACTCACGGTAATATGTCACACATTTTCACTAACATAAATAATTTAACGTCAGGTGCAAAGTGGGAAGTCATTATATCAGGTTTATTGAGGGCAGAAAAAGAACGAAACTGATTGCATAAGCTTTTGTCAATACTCCAGTATACTCGAGAACATGTTTGTACACAAGTTTATGGAGATAACTTACATATATCTTGACTTATATATTCGTTATAAAGTCTGACAGAATATCGAAAATCGAAATGTAATATATGGGAGCTGGGGCAAGTCGTGGACCGAATTCGCAATAAACTATAGTACATCTACAGTTTGTTATAACTTTACTTAATTTTCCTAAGATATCTTACATATTGACCGTATGTCGGGTCAATATTACTCCTAACCCTATATATCCAATTTAATAATATTAACAAATTTCCGGTTGGCTTTATGCCGTATGTACTTAAGAAACCTCGTGGATTGACAGATATACCATAATATTAGAAACTAAACCGGAATTATGAAGATCCTAATATAAGGTATAAAGGAGCTACTGGAAGTATTCACCCAATGTGATTTCTTAGTCACAAAGTATATCTCTGAACTTTATTGATACAACTAACATATCATAACATAACATATGTACGGTATGAAGTCAACTGAAAGTTCGAAAATATTTATTAATTTATAATAGTGACCCGATTATATCCACTTTTGACATAATGCTATTATTTGTTATCAGAAAACGATTCTCTCTTACAAAATTAATCTCACAAATTGACTGATACATTCAGAGAAAAGTTTGCCATTGGCACTGGAATTGACATTTTTGGTATCTAAGGACTTGAAAAGTTAAAAAGAATTTAAAATAGTGTTATGTGGAAAGTTGGCGTGGTTGTAGTCCAATTTTGCTCTTTTTAAAACAGTTATATAAGAACGACAGATGATCTGTACCGTATTGGATTGAAATTGAAATGTGAGTAGGTCCTAAGATATGGTTCAGCTCCTATAAGTCTTTCCGCATCATCCTAGCCGGTAGATTTAATGCTTCTGACGTATTTATTTAGTGATTTATCGCACTTTAAGTAGTTTTCAACAATACCGTTATACGGAGAGTGGTGGGGTTATCATCCGATTTCACCAATTTTTACACTGTCGGAGGAGGTGCCGAGAATATTTACCCTGAGCACACTTGGTTGATACAACTCTAATGATTTGTGAGAGATGTATATGATACCTATTAGGGCGAGCGGCCGCGGCCACTTTAAAGACCATTTAATTTTAAAACCAATCTTCCCTGTTTTTAGCAGAAGAAAAATACACATACCGCTGCGAGACATCAAGTCGTCATTACAACCAAATTTTCAAATTAAATTGAATTACAACTATTTATTTAAATAAGCTTACCTGCTTCAATTGCCACTGCAGTGTATCCACTTGATTTTGCAACAACACCATCTGCACATTTGCCGAGTTATCGCTGTGTGCCTTAAAAGCGGGCAGGCGCTGTTCGATGCAGGCGGGTGTGGTGCGTGCGGCAACTGGAGGCTTTGCGCCTGCTGCATAATGAGCCGTTAGCGTTGAACGTGTGGCAGCCACAGGTGGTTTCGCTATGGCGACGACATTACCACCATCGTCGACATTGTTAATGTCATCTTCAACTGCGAACATGAGATTTTCATCCTGCAAAAACAAAAAAAGAAACGAAACAGAATAAAATGAATGTTTTTCTCAGGCAAGAAAAGTTCAATGTATGAAATGCCTGCCAGTGGCATGCAAATAAATATGCACATGCGTAGGTTTTCATGTGTTGCCAAGTCGGTGGATATATTCATATGTATGTGCGTTGCATCAACAAGTTTTTAAGCATTTCCGACACACTTCCTCTACAAATTAAAAGCGTTGTGGCGGTAAGCTGTGTCTCTTGAATGCAAAAAACTCGTTCACTAATGCTAAAACACACACAATAAAATACATTTACATACATATACACGGGCATTTAAATTTGTGGAGTTAAGCTCACGTGTAGCCGATATAAAAGTGGTTTAATTTTGTATGAAATTGTTTTTTTTTTATTACCCTGAAAAGCGTTTACTAAGTTTGCCACGAAGTTTGTTACAGCCAGAAGAAAAAATCGGAGACCTTATAATGTATATATATGAGTTATCAGCGTGATGAGCTGAGTCGATTTAGCCATGCCCGTCTGTTTCTCTGTCTATATATACGCCAACTAGTCGCTCAGTTTTTGAGATATCGATCTGAAATCTCCTGATATCTCCCGTTGGTAGTTGATATCGGACCACTCTAGTATGTAGCAGCCATAAAAATTGATCGATCAAAATCTTATTCTTGAATGGAAAACTTTTTTATTTGACAAGTTATCCACACGAATTTTGGCAAAGATTATTATCCAATGTAGCTCTACAATCTCCGAACCTAGTGTTCAGATCGTACCACTATATTATATAGCTGCCATACAAACTTAGTGAGAAAAATCAAGTTCTTATATGGAATGCTTTGTATTTGTGAAGGGTGTTATAGCTTCGCTGCAGCCCAAGTTAACTTCTTTCTTATTTTATTTTTTATTTTTGTCCTTTTTTGTCTTTCAAACCGAGCGTATTGTGGCGTCCAGCATTAATTATGTTATGCTACAGTTGGATTGTTTAATTAAAGTTATTGGACAAGTAATGGCTGTCTTGGCATACACACACATATGTATATATGTAAATGTAGACATATATGTACATATTGTATATAAACATAATGAAGCTAATAAATGCAAGTACGCGTCTGAATTATGTTTGAATTTAAAAATAAACTAACAAACACACACACCAGCAAGTAGTGTTAAAAAGTGTGAAAACGACGTTTATGAATGGGCAAATTTAAGTGCCAAAATTAACTATACATGCACTCATACTCTTATATCAAATTTTAGTAACAGTAAAACCACAGAAAATTTTAATTTCCGCATAGTAGTCATATGATAATGCCCTTAGTTTAATAGTTTTTGAAAGTTAATAATTGTCTGATTAATTTTTGGCTGGCCTCGTAGCTAAATTTGCTATGACAAGTATGAAAGTATAATATTACTGAAGTTAAAATGTAAAAACATAGTTTTTTATGTAATAAAAAATGTGCAAATTTGTGCGCAATTTTTAATATCTGTCAGCTCCTTATTTACTTTCGCTTAACTGTTTATTAAGCTTTGCAAAGAGTTGAAAAAAATGGCGTTTAGTTGGCAACGCTAAACTAATTTTGTTGCAAATTTGTAATGGAAGCAGAATGCTAAAATAATTGCTCGGAAGATGGTTCCATTTTGCTTGTAAGTATTAGACAGTAATAAAAAAACCCAAAATATGAGGAAGGTATAATACTTAGCCTACAAAAGCAAAATTCAAATATCTTAAAAATTCCGATTTATTTATTAAAAAAGACTAAAAAAAATCCACTAGATTTTCAAAGTTTTCGTGCGACTTAAATTTCTGCCACGCGTTTGATATTTAGCTGAATTTGGAAACAAGAATAAGTCACACTGTATCAAATCTAGAGAATACAATGGATTGGATTGGACATTTCGTATTCAAATTTGACTAATATGACCGTGGCGAAGGCATAGGTGTGAGCGAGCCGTAGTCATGATGGAAGAGTGCTTTTTTCCTCGTTAAATCAGCACGATTCGACATAGTAGAATCCTGTCATTGTTTTGAATTTGTCCAGGGAATCGATCCAATCACAAGGAAAATCTTCGATTCTCCCCATTTCGCCGACAGCTTGCTCAAGCCCAATATTTCATGCCGTATGTGATCCCCACGATCTTTTGAGATTCTTACTAGCTATCTCGCAAACCTTCAATCGGCTGTCTGCCAATACGCGATAGTAAACTTTTGACACTTTATCTTTTATGGTAGCCCCGTGAAACCCGGTCCGCAAAGACCACGTTTTCGTTAAACAAATTTTTGACGCTCGCTATTTAGGTGAAGAGTGCTTTCAATGCATACTTGCAAAAAGCAGCAACGAGCCACGAACCGATATTACTATTTTTCCATTGTCCTAAAATCTGAGGACACGATTAAAATAAAACTACGAGTCTATTTCGGATTTATAATGTAGCTGAGTACAAAAATATTACTTCTGCGATAGTGGCGCTATAAGTTGGTGGATCGCTCTCGCACCCTTTAGACACACTAAAGCCACTCGCTGTAACTTATATACTTATGTATTAGCCTGGAACGTTGCTAAAGATTCATGGCTGATTCAAGACAACCTTTATAGATTTATATTAAGGAACGTTATACTATATTTGAAATTTTTATTTCATTTGGGTGCTCAACACATCAGTCGAATGTAATTTTCCAGTTCTAACAGTTAATAAAAAAAAAAAATTAAATTTATGACCCTTTTTTATTTCAAGTGCCCAATTATTTTCCAAAATCACCGTACTATCAAAACTATCAATGAAAGTCAGAGCTCACAGCTTACTCACAAAATACGCTGAATCCTCTTCCGAAGCCATTACGTGAGCCACTTAAAATAAATGCGATTGCAAATTTTATTTGCACGCACTGTTAGTTCCGCCACTTCTCTCCACTGAGTGACGTGTCATCAATTGTCATCGTTATGCGCTCAGTTGTTGCACTTATTTGGCACACCAGATCAAAAATGAAAAAAAATTTGCGCCGAACAATAAAATTTTTTCTTGCGCTCATAACAAAATTTCTGCATTGTTAACAATTTAAAATGGTTGCGGCTGGAAAAAATTGCTGTGGCACAAATTACGAACAACATTGTTGTTGTTGTTAATGTTGTTGTCGACTATTTACGGCCGCAATTGCTGGTAACAACCCGGCAGTAAGCGATCCAATTGTTTTCGCATCATCAACGGAAAATTCAGACAATCGAACCGCCAGACACGCTGTGTATGTGTGTGTGTCAGCCACAAATGTTTACTTGCATAAAGATTTATAAACATTTTTTTTGTGGAAATCGCACAATTGTGCAAAATTTTGTTTTGCAGAAAAGAATGAAACCATTGAGCTATTTTTACGATATTAAGCCACATATTTATAAACATACATACACACATATGTATGTTCATATTATTTATAATCATATATAATTAATTAATGATGATGCGCGATTTTTTTAAAGCAAATCTGCACTGAAGAGAACAATATACTATACTTTTTCGGTATCACTGCTTTCTGGGTCACAATTAATTAATAATTTGTTATATATGAGCTTAAAAGCATTTGCAATGATTTGAAATAATAAGCTGTGAATAGTTTAATTTGTTGCTATTTTAGTTAAAAACTATACAAAGCGAGCTTGAATGAAAAATTCTACAATAAATCCTAATGAATTCATTTGTAGCTAACTAACTCCATGTATAAACTAGTATTAGTTTAGCCAAGTTGCGGTAATTGTCGTATGAGCTCTCCCGGCAATGATAAATACTCGTCTCAACGTAAAATCAGCTCATAAATGTTATGGTTTATGGAATTAGTTTTAGTTAGTTTCTTCCCAAGATGATAATTGGCAGAAATAACCTGCGTTTCGGTTTGTTGATTTTTCATTCAGTAGTATCAGTCAGTTTAATAAATACCTAGATTAAAACCATCTCTCTCACCCACTGGTTGAAATTGAAATTAATTAAGTATAGATTAGACCTCACTTAACCTGTATAATTTTAATCAAGAATCACATATTTTTGTATTTTATTAACAACAGGTAATCTAACATTATTTTGAGTCGAAAATCGAAAGAACTTTTGTCCCGAATTCTTCAGTCTTTTACTTTTTGTTATAACTGTCAAGCATTTTCCATTATTTTTCCAATAATTGACTTCTTCTGTTGTATATGTTAAAAGGGATCGGGTTACGCTATACCGTTAGAAAGATAAGATTTCGTACTAAAAAACATTTCAGAGACTTTTGGATTTTGGATGACCACATCATATTCTAAAGTTTTTTCTTTGATGAAGGAAAAGACACAAGCCAGACCTCTAAAATTGACAATTATGATCGTCATGTAAGCAATGTTTCGATTGCCAAGAATTAAACATTGAACAAACAATTTTTGGAACCGTTCAAAACAGAGTCGATACACTATAAAACACGATGTATTGGTACCTCACGAGTTAACACACAAAAAAAAAAAAATCCTCATGAATGGAATTCTAACTGCGAATCGCTGCTAAACCGCAACAAAGCGATCCATTTCTGAAGCTAATGGTTACTGGTCGTGAAATGTCACGGTGACTAGGAAGGTTTTGCTTGTTGGGGGGATTGGCAAGAAATAATCTACTATGAGCTCTTCCGCTATAGCCAAACTCGTAATTCAAACCTTTACTGTAAACGATTGGACCGTCTGAAGGTATCAATCACCCAGAAGCGGCTAGTTTTGTCTATTGTTCTTATGAGAGTGGCACATATGTAATTATCTTTAAAATAATAACATTTTATAGCATATACAATTAGTGTTCACAAAAAAGAAAAAATATATATATTATATATATGTATATATATAGCAACTATATACAAGTAATAAAGAATGACTGAACATTTGCGTATGCCATTCTCTACTGTTACAGCTCATTACCTTTCATCAAATTCCAAAATATATTTTTAAAACCTTGACTTTCAAAACGAACAGCCTAAAATTTTTGAAATTTATTTTAAGCT